AATAATGTCAAAGTGCACGCACAAACAAATACTATCCAGAAATGACACATCATGTGGCCTTTTAACCGTTGATATACTAGTGGTGTCTTTCTTGTGGGTTCTAGAATGATCAATAAGACTTTCACATCGCGATTGACCTAGAGAAATCTATAGCCAGTGGTTGTCAACATTGTAAGCATAACAAAATATAAACCGATTTCAATGAAAATGATTCTCTTATATAAAAGTACATGACATTTTGTGAAAAATCTGTACATGGAGAAAAATGAATATCATTTTTGGATTCAGCGTACAGGAATTACTGTAGAACAAGTAAAAATTTCAAGACAATAAAACCATCGCAGGCCTGTGTAATTTTTGTTAACTCCCCATTATACATAGTTTATGAATCATTGTGTCAACAAGATGTTTCTGTACTGGCAATAGTGACTAAACTAAAGTTATCATTATGTGCATTAGGGCTGCAATGCTACTAACACAGCACTACTAGTAGGGTTAGAAGAGCTGCATATAGATAGATCACAGCATCAATTACCTTTTCCATGGTTTCAATCATGAATGTATGAAATTTAAACATCTCATATAATTGATACTTGAAACCATCAGTAGTTGGTGAAACTCTATAATTACAAAATTAAGGAAAAACAAGACAATTTTACATTTCACAATGTATCATTTATTCATGACCATGTTTTTGCCAGTCAATTCATCATCAGGTAGCTGTTAATGCATTTACTGGTGAAAACATGGTTGTGAATAAATGATGTATTTAAGGAAAGTACATTTGTCTTGTTTTTTCTCAGTTTTAAACATCTTAGCACATTAAAACATATATGTGTGTATGATATAAAAATATATGGGCTACATCCATTTTATTTGTGTGTGAAAGACAAGTTTTTATAAGTAAATATGGCCATCACTCACCACTTGCAAAACTGGTCAGGGTCCTTCAGCTCCCAATAATTTCAATAGATTGACTTAATCCACAATTTTTTCTTCTTAATCTTAGATGAAATTTTGTGCCATCCAATCTTTACTGACTGCAAAAATCTATTTGTGCAACCAGTTACATAATAAAAAGTCGGCAGTATTTCAATAACAAAACACGCTCACATCACCATGATATATAACAACAACGGCCACTGCCAAGATGTTTTGCCAACCAGCAACAACAAGTTATTTCTTGTGATATCATCATAATTGAGCTCATCTACCATTTACATGTTTCTCTTGCACATTTTGACTACAGAATAAGATAGATTTACTTGAGGTAATTGCAGACAATGTTCTTTAAAAGAAGTCTGTCAGTCAAATATAAATGCACAAAAGAAATATTTATAATGACTATTGATTTTCAATATCAATAATAAAATGTTACAAATTCCTTGTAATTAGTTGCGTCCAAGATTTTCACGAGATAATGCATGTTTTTTTAATACAAAACCAGAAGTTGTGATAATCAATTAAAACATCTTTTATTTAGCTCTTCTCAAATGTTTTGCAAATTATGCAGCTCAGTGAAATAGAAATGATATATAACTTTTTATTTTCAGAGGATCAATTTCAGTGTACAAACAAGTCCATGAAACCATTTATAAGCCTGTATGAAAATAATTATGATACATTGGTCTCTTCAAAGGTAAGAACAAAAAATGTATGGGTTAAGACAACACAAGACATGCAAAAGAAAGAATACAAAGTATCCTCAGATGTTTGTGACAAGGAATACAGGAATTTGTAAAAAAACATATCGAATTGTACAAGGCAATTCAAAGTGAAGTGGAAAAGGTAGAACTATGGATATATTATGATAGATAGATGACATATTAAGAAAAAACTGATTAAATCCTAAGGTTACTGCTGAATCTCCAAAGCCCAGAGGGAAGGTAACTGTACTGCATACTAAAGAAGTCATTTCCAAAGAGTATGGAAATGATGGTGCATGTGCAGAAATAATAACAATTTCAAACACTAAGTAATATCATCCCAGGCCATTAAAAGAAAAGTTAAAGAACCATCAGCATGGTTTTCTGAATGCATAAAGGATTGGAAAGAAAAGTATTCCTGAATAATGGACATAAAATTAAAGAATTACTAAGGTAAAGTATAAATCTACTTCAAGAAAATAATGTTCTTCTGCATGAACTTGCAAGCACTATGAAGGATTTAATAAAGCAGTAACTAATAAACCACCTTGTTTCAACAAAGAATGTTTTCTGTTTTCTTAATGAAAAAAATGTTCTTGTGTAAAAATCTGTTTAAATTTAGAAGTTGCTATACAGTTAGCAAGTTATGCATCTAATTAATATCAATAGCTGGCCATCTTATGACACATTTTTAGGTTCTGACTTATTTCTTTGGAAAATTAACCTTAACTATTTAACTGCTTTGATGACTAAGATAAACTTGTTCCTAGTCACCAGTGTGGTTTCGTAGTTATTTTAATTAATTAAAATCAGTGAAACTATCATTGCTTTTGACCTAAGTGGGAGGGTAAGAGTTTTTCACAGTGATTGATCATAAAAGAACAAAAAGAAAGCACATTAATGTTCCATTTTTAAAAGTTTTTTAAGTTTTCATATTAAGTTGGTACTCAGTTTTTAGTATCTATATAAAGAACTATGCCTATATGAGTTGTGGTAGTTAAGAGATTTCGAGAATCTTTAAAATCCAAAACATGTTTAACCGTTTCTTTAACAATTTTATTATAAGTGCAATTTTTATACGTTGTTTACGATAGAGTTCTGGAATATAACAACGAATAACGAGTAAAATAAATTTGTAGCATTTGACAATTCTAGTAAATAGGATGTTACTGAAATTCATCAGGATTGTGTAGGGAAACTTATAATTACCAGATTCTACATTTTTAAAATAGCCACCTGATCATCATAAGGTCAAACTACAATGTACACAACAAAGTACCAGGATGGGATCAACTTGCTGTAATGTCAAAAGTACATTTCTAGTTTTAACTTTAAAGTCAAGAGGTATTGTTAGACTGGAATCCAAGCTTTCATATCAGCCACATGGCATCCAGAAGAAAATAGTATTAACAGTACAAGAACCATTTTATAAACATTGTAAATATGTCCCACACTAGATTAATATGACTTGTTATTTAAGCAGTAAGTTGATTTCAATGTGCAATTATTGCACTTGCACCTTTTCTAACATACTTGTAAGAACATTGGCATTGTAATTGTATGAAAATCTATTTAACCTCTAACTGAAATGCTCCTCACTAACACTTATCATTGTAACCAACTAATGATCCTTGTTTTCAAAATTTTTATATGTTAAAACACAGTTTAAATATTATGCATGCTATTTTTGAGGAAATAATTTGATATTAAATTTATGAACTTAAAACTCTCTAATGTATAATACAAAAAAAAAAAACGTTTGAATGAGAATATTTAAGCAAGTTCTTTTGCAAGACCTAAAGTTTGGTTACTAATTTCAAGTGAGACACAATAGGATTAGAATCAACTGAGAACAAAGTTTCTTCCCCAAAGTTACTGCTGTATAAACATAACTATGTTCTTATCTGTGTACAAATTGCTTAATTATACTTAGAATTATGACAATGATCAATGAGAAACGTAAAATGATTCAAGTTTATTATCTTTAAGCAAATTATTTACAAAATACAGTCTTATAAAAATATTGATGACTAACTTCTGCAAAATTAACATCAGTAAAGGTGACGTTCAAATCCCCAAATCACATGCAACAAAACCCTTACAAGGAAAGTTCAGCTGGATCAGAATCTTCCCATAATACATCCTGTTTTGTTCTGAGTGCATCACATACAGAACATATACTCTATGTGATAACTCCACATCCACTGAAGACCTTTAAAGAATACAGAGGGAAGTATTTAGATTTCCTTACACCCAAAAATAACTAGAAGGTCATGAATATACCAATTACTTTTCAAATAGTTGGATGATATTTATATTAACAATTTCCTCGAACAAAATAAAATGTTAGTGAGTGAAATTACATTATTATTAATCATTTTGGATATTACACCGGATAATGTTAAATCATTTTCAAAAATTGGTGTGCTGTACAGTAAGGAGTGTCTTGCAATAAGATGTTCATATGGATTTACTCAGACTTGGAACCCTTGTTTGTTCATGGTATCCTAATGGAAACTTGATGTACATTCTTTACAAGATAGTGTTTATTACCAACCATCAGCTACCTAACCCAAACATGTTTCAGTTTTGCTTTAAATAATTTTGGGTCAGTGAAGTATGAACAGACACTGCCTGGAGATTTCTCACTTTAGCAATGTTTCATTACCTTACATGTGTTAAAGTGTTCTTCTAGACCTGAAAATAATTCCAGCATAGAATCCAAAACATCATCACAACTAAAAAAAAATCCCAGACAGTTCTTGTCAATAATATTTCTGTATGTTTATTTTAATTTTTTAAGGTCTTTCACACAAACTTCATGTATAAATGAAAGTTCTCCCTCATAACACTTCCAGCTAACATTAATGAGTTTTTATGCAACTACTCTCTTGTCATGCTGGGTAACATTACAGGTATCCTGGTATCATTAACAATTACTAGTAATATAGATATTAAAACAGTAATTAAACTGATTCAACTTTTGTTTACAGAATGAATATTTTTTTACTGATAAAATGCACAGTTGACTAAAAACCAATAGATAATAAACTTAGTTTGAGGCTTTCAAACATGAAATACATTCAGACAATGAAACAACTTAATACACACATTAGATGCATCACTGATAACATTTCATGCTTACAGTCACACAAAAACTACATAATGGAATAAAGGATATCTACAGTACTTTATTACTTAACGATGTTTTCTACATAAATTACTCGTGAGAGAGTATTTGGTTTATCTTTTGTTTTGTTTCACTCAGGTCTAAAATACCAGCACTTTTCAGTAACCCTGAACTAAATCAAACCAAAGGCATGTTATGAAGAAAGCATTTCACAAGTCTTTTTTTTTTCCTCACTGCTAGATATCTCATATTGCAGGAATTCAGGAGTTTAAAGCTGTAGCTGATGTTTAATGTTTTCTTTCTTTCTTATCAGTTACTGAGAGAAGTACAAAAATCAATGAAATAGATACTGACCAAAACTGTTTAGTTTAACATAACAAAAAGGGGTTTTAAATATAATTTTTTGCATAAAAAGAAATTAATGTTTGGTGAAAAAAAACAAAACATTTTCAATTTTGTTTCTCATGTACTTGTAAACCAACTTCTTAACATTCATATTATAGTTCAAACCAAAATATTACTACTGATATTGAGTATACATTATAAAACACATGCTTATATTATACAATACACATTAGTATACAACATTTAAGTAAACAATTATCGATACTAAATTTTGAAGTCATTGGATTTGTATCAAAATAGCATTCAAGTTTTAATAATAATACAAAATAACACTTTCAGAATAGTATGGCTAACGTTTCAACAACAATCCATAGTACACTTTTCAGAATGGTATGGGTAATTTTTCAACAATAATCCACAACAGTAAACCTTTAAACAATAACCCACAATACAGTTTTCAGAATGGTAATCCACAACAAACTTTCAGAATGATATAGGTATTACTTCAAAAATAACCCACAATACATTTTGAGAATGGTATTAGTGAGAAAGTTTAGCAATTTCTCAAAAAGAAATAATAATAATATATTTCCTACAACAACATTTCTTAAAATAATCTAAAGCAAAGAGTTGAAATGTTATTTTTTTCCCAGTAACATTAAGTTTTAACCATAATGAAATGGTTTCAATGATCTTTTTGAAGCAAAAAATAAAAAATATTTTCTAAACTACAATAGTAAATCACTGTAAAAAGAAGTAATTTCACAAGACTGTATGAAAAGTAAATGAACAAGAGTATCAAAACAAAGTAAAAACTTGGACAACATTTGACTAGAATAGAACTTCGGTTAGATGTTGGTATGAATCAATCATTCATCCTAGGTAATCAATTTATACTCACATCTCAATCCACATCTTTATCGTGTGATTGTTTTAGCACCTTATAACTGCAACAGATATAGCAAACTGTTCAACAAGAAAACATTCAGCTAGTTTTTACACCATATCAGCTTCTATACCTAGCTTTAAAATGTTCAATCAGAGTGAAACAATCCCCTTATTTATCTGGTTTAACAGGTAATATTAGTGTAAAAACATTCACCTTCTCGTCACTAAAAGCTGTAACTAGTTTACTAAGGTATTATATCAGAGTGGAAACAGTCCCCTTTAATGCCTAGTTTACAAGAGAGTCAGATAATATTGGAAACAGTGACCTTTTTACCTGGTTTACATGCTACACAGTATTTAAGAAAAAATGCAAGTTTTTAGGAAATGTCTTTTATTGCAAAAATAAATCACCAATATGAAACTACTTTAATACATTGTACATAAACGTTTGTAGAAATGTCAGCAAAAGAAGAAAGTTGCATAAATGTGAAAATGGTCACTTTTTGTAACTAAATTAACACAATACTTTAGAATTATTATTAAAACACTCAGACTGTTCTTTTAATTGTGCTACGATAAACTTTTCTTTATTACTGTAGGATATGGTAAGAGTGTGTAATTCCAACTATCTATAATAAATTTATTAAGTAAGGCATAATGCAAAATGGTTCTAGAAGCTAGTACACATACTATTTTTCTATGACAAGTAAACTTTTAGATACTGGTATAATATGCTGTTATACGAGCTTTTTAAAACTAGTATGGCATCATACTGCAAAGCAAACTTTGGAAAATAGTTAAGATACTGTTTTGATCAAGAAGCGTTAAAAACTGGTACAGTCTTGTGTAGTTCCAAGAAGCCTTTATAAACAGATTTGGTAATGTCTTAATATGAGGCCGTGAGAAACAATGACGATACTACTTATACTACTATGGAAATCTTCATAAAAACATATATTACCAAAAGGCCTTTACACAATGGTATGGTAATGTACAACAAAGAATATTTTTATAAAACTTTATGGTATTAAAATGTCTTTGAACTGTACAACACCAAGTGAGCCTTGAAAACAGGTACTGTTTTACATTAGCATGAGTTCTTTTAGAAACACATATAATATTCTACTGCCAATAGAATTTGAGAAACAAGTATGTTATCGTATTAACATTAGATTTTTACATACATTTATAGTAGTGTAATACCAAAAAAACCTTTAGAAACTAGTATATTAATAATTTACAATAGTGCCAAGAGGCTTTTAAAAACAGGCATAATTCAGTAAAGTGAGTAAGTAAGTAACAAAAAATTGCTGTTCAAATTTAAATATCTTAATTTGGTTAGATATTTTTGCTTTAAGCAGCAGGATATAATTAGTTGTAGAAATTTTAAGTGCTTTACTATGAAAATGTAAATATTAACTGCATTATTTTCAGAAAATTCACAAAATTATACTTTATAAAGAATCAGAATTTAACATTCACTTTACAGTTCTTAAAAAAACCTACCCAACATGACTCTGTTTCTTTCTCTATACACATACAATGTGGTATTAATTAAATATACAGTAACGACAGATTTAATCAACGAAAATATTCAGCTGGAAACATAAGATACACAACATCCAGCACACTGAAGCTAGTTTAGTTTAATAATACCTTTGCTCTTCTTGCTCCATTAATCATGGTTTCTCACTCAGGGTGTTTCTTGTGAAATTTTATTTCATTGCATCATCGGACGATACCATTTCCTCCAACTGCTCCTGAGACTGTGATGCCATTTTGGTTAATGATGCCATTCTTTTTAATTGTGCTTCTTGTCCCATCTGCAGTTTTACATCTGTTATGAATTCAAATGGATCTTGAGGCACTAATGGTGACATTACTTTTTCTGACATGTCGATTTCCTCTTCTTCCTCAACAAGAAAGTTTGTAACTAAGGCACCTTACCAAAAGAAAAAGTAATTCATCTAAATGGTCAAACTACAAATTAAAATGTGTATTTTGCTGTTTAAAGCTGAGAAACATTTTAAACTACTTCACATCTGACATGTAATATACTTATAAAAAGTTTCTCCACTTTGATTTAAAGTATTGGTTGGATTTTACTTCCAACACCACATATTTAAATTTCTTTAAAAAATTCTGAATTGTATATATATCTAGTTTTGAAAAATTAAATTATGTTTTCAAATGAAATTTTAGCAATATTCTTCAAAATGTACATTTAAAAATATTGTACATTAAAATAATTTAAAGGAGTATGTGTTGCTATACAAAGTTTTTTATGAATCAAAATTTCATACTAATCTCAGTTATCAAGTTTTAACATGCTCACAAAAATAAAATGATATTGTGATTTTTTTACAAAATCAACATTCCTATCTGGATTGGAAGTTTTGCTGCATTTCAAAATGAAAATATTTAACTGTTATTCACTTTTAAAAAGTCTAAAAGATCATATACGAACAATAATTAACTTTTAACAAGAACTTATGAAATGTATGCTTTTACTATATACTCATTTTTAATAAAGAAAATATCACACAATAAACTTATATTCTTAATTTTAGGTGGTTCTACACACTTAAACAATTAAACAATTTTTTTAGTGTTTAGACATTTAGTGTTTGCTACCATATGGGTAAGGGACTCACGTGGGTAACATCTTACAAAATATTTATTATTTAAATACTAGCAAGTATAAGAAGTAAGCTATGATAAAAAGAGAAACATACAGAACTTATACCATGATTTCTTTCAAGATAAATAACCTAGTAATGTAAACATTACTTTCATCAAAACATAGCCTTAACATCAATCTACATTAGTAAGTAATAAATAAAGTATGGCTAAATGTATCTTATCTCATGTATGCTGTATATATTAAATTAAAATAAAACCTTTTATTGTCTCTAAAGAAGCTATTCTAGCCCGTAGTTCATCTATTTCTTGTGTCATTGAGGCAACCATTGCTTCACTTTCACCTACTTCTTCTTGCAGCTCCTAACAATAAAGTACAAGTAATTTTATAAGCTGAGGTCTATAAAATATATCTTAAATTTTCTAACAAATTATATATAAACACTTGTAATTAACTATACTAAAACTTAAAATATTTTTTGAAATAATAAAAACAATTCAAAGTTGTCAAATAATTCCTAAAATTAAAACACTTCTTTTAAACAACTATAAACTTCTTTTCATAATTCAGACATTCCTAAATTTAAGCATATCTCTGATTAATTAGTACACGAATAAATGAATTAAAAACTTTTGTGTATGCAAAATCAGTGTGCACATAAAACATAAAAACAAAACAAAAAACTCAATTATATATCACTCCACACAACACTGAAGTAACATCACCAATCTAAATCAGAAAGAAAGGGGAAAACAAAAATTTCACAATTTGTAACACAAACACACACTTAGAATTTCTGAAATAATGTTACAAAACTAAAACTGGAAAAAAACTGAGCAAAACAAAGACAATTGTATATTTCACAAATATTCCTAGTTTCGCCACTAAAGACATCATCAAGTACAGACAGAACTAGCTTGTGAACAGGTGTGTATTTAACCAAAGAACTGGAAATAACTTCAACAATCACCCTGAGGCAAGAGAAATGAGAAGTGAGAATGAGCTTAAGTTGATTTGGTAGCTTAGATCTTCGTCTGTGTTTATGTTTCTATTTATTTCTAAAATTTCCAGATTATTTAGTTTCTTTATCTTTATCTCACAGACATGTATAATCTTGCATTTTTCCAGATGAAGTTGCTGTTTAGTTTCCATAAGGTGTGATGCAAAAGTTGAGTCGATTTTTCCCAATTTCCAGCTTCTTGAATGTTCCTTAATTCTTGTTGCTATGGAACATCCTGTATGACCTATTGCAGTCTTGACAAGTTAATTGGTAAACATCAATGTGGCTGTATTTTTCAATTTTGTCTTTGTTGTTACACAAAATTTTGCTTAGGTTGTTTATACAGTATAGGGCCAGTCTATAAATTTATTTGCTTAATCAGCTATACATTTTGTGAGGTTTCCTGATGTAGTCTACCTTCAGGGGCCATTTTAATGTGTAGCTCAAACAATCTTTTCTTGTACTAAAAGTTCAATGTGAAGTTGGAAGTAGAATTTCCTGCAGTTGAATTTTTGAATATTTTTGAAAATGTACATTATATTTTATGTATGATAATGGATGCTAAAATACAATGAACATTTTATCTAATGATGCCAAAATCTAGATAAAAGTTTCATGAATATCTAACATAACATAGTATGTGTGATCTTACGTACATTTTTATTATGCACAAAAATTAACCTTTGCATCCCCAAAAGCAAAAAAAAAAATAAATGCGCAAAATAATTCTTAGCAACCTCCGAGGAATGTTATAATGTGGTACACAGTTTAACCTATGGTTTACGTAGCTCTGAAAATCCCTTAAAATAATCTCTGCTTATCTTACACCATTTCTTTCTGTTTTTCTCACTTGTTATAGTATGTGGGTATATTGATGTTAATTTAATGATCTATAATTTTTTAAACAACAAAGTGTCAATTAACTTAACTGTATAACCATTATTGACAGACATTTGTTTTATTGTTTTAAATTCAGTTTCATAATTTTCAGATGACAAAGGTAGAGTGATAAATCTGGGTGACAAACTATGGAAAACAACAACAAGATATCAGATGTCTTGAAAAAGCATGTACAGTGGTGTCACGACAAGTAGGTTTTCAGAAAATTTTGAAGGAATGTATGCCATCATTTCTGTCAGTATTTAAAATTAGAACATTATGAAAGCTAGTATGTAACTAAGTTAACTGAAACACTGTTGTTTAAGAAATTAAAGGCCATTAACTTAAGATCACCAATTTCATCTAGGAAAAAAAAAAAAAATTGCAAAATTGTATAGATCAACTCCTCACCTCTTCTCATCTCTCTTGTCTCAGAGTGATAGTCAAAGTTATTTCCGGTTCTTTGGTTAAACATAATAATCTGATGATGCCTTAAATGGCATAATGGTCATAAACCATGGTCATAATAAATGAAAAACTTCAAATATGTACAAACATCTTTGTTTTCCTCAATTCTATAATTATGGAGTTTTATCAAGTACCAACAGTCTCAAATATTAATTATAAATATCAGAAAGTTTATTGAGAAAAAGGAAGATTTACAAATTATAAGTTGCTTCACGCATAACTCTGAAATAATGTCACAAAATTAAGCCAGAAAGACGGTTAAACACAAATTATCCCACTTCACATGCATATAAACCTGAAATCATGTTATCATCCTCTCCCAAAAGAACATGAAAAAACAAAACATCTCACAATTACTGCTCACTTCACATATACATAAGCCTGAAATAAATAATATTAACAATTTCACTCAGAAAGCAAGAAAAACAAAGGATCTCACAGTTATTGGTTACTTCACTATCACATAAACTAAAATAATGTTACCGATTTCATCCAGAAAGACAGGAAAAAAGACATGCCACTAGCCTTGAAACTCCCACCTACCCAATGATCAACATGGTTCATAGCATCTTCGCATGTAAATTATCATGCAACAAACAACCCTCCACCGATAGGAGTTTGACACACCCACTTGATACACGCTACTTTCTCTATTCAATTACAACTAACCATCACTTTGAGATTAGGCAGAAAGTAAACACCAGTAGTGGGAAGTGTGAGAAGAGAAAAGTACCTATCAGAAATATATTTTCAGTGCAGGAAAATAATAACTTCCGATACAGTACCTTACCTCCTCTCACATAATAGCCAGAATCCCACAATAAAAAGGTGGAGGGACTAGTGCAAGAGATGTAGATAGACACCTGAAGCATTTTATATTCATCACAATAAAATACAGTCAAAACAAGAATAAATATTCAACTAAAATGAGGAGAAAAATCATATTACATTGATTATCACATACACTGACAAACCATTCCAATCAGAGATCACCAAAAATTTCGAATCTTACCAAAATTTTAAAAACAATGTCAAACTGTGTTTTCTGTTTCATTTTAAGTATGAAAGACTAAGTTAATTTTTCCCAACACAAGCCAATTTCCTGTGTGTTTACTCAACTATTGAATCACAGCTAATAAAGATACAGTAAGGGTAGGTACTTATGCCAATAAAAGTTTGAAATACTATTTCTTATTCACCCATTATTTGTTTATCTTTATATTTTCTGGTTTTACAGTGCTAAAATGAAATTTAAGGACTTCCTTAAATAATCCTCGAATAAAGTTTATAAGTTATTTCAGAAAGATCACCGTATATGGTATCTTACAATCACTTCACAGGTGCTTTATCCATGATTAATGACATCAAATAATTCAGAATGATGCAAAATCATGATATCACAATTAAACATCTCTCCACTAAAACATAATTTTGTAATAATGGTAGAATTTGTGAGTTTAGCTTTGTAAAACGATTGCAAAACCAGTTCATTAAACATCAAAATTCCTAGTTTTCCTTAAAAAATAAAAAAACAGTAATTTAAGCATCAATTACTTTATCCAGTCTCCTTATAGATCTTCTATATTAAAACTAGCCTAGAGGTTTCATATGAAGCATATACATATGAAAAAGCATGAATACATGTTCAAAAACTTATCACATTAATCCTGAAAAATAAACAAATGGTAAAAATTAAATCACAAAGATGAACATAGTTGTTCTTTGCCTTTAATTTAGACCTTATAGCTAAATACATTAAACACTTGTACTTATTCATTGCTTAAATCTAAGTGAGAATCAATTCTTTGTTCTTTAAGCCCATTTGTCAACAACAATATTGAGCTCCATGTACTCTGAAACATATTAAATATTAGAGCTGAATTAGTTCTTGTACTTACCCATAATTTAGAATGCAAGGCCGAATGAATTCCTTGTACCTGTCTGACAGAACTTTTATCTTCCTCGGTGCAGGAGGCCCTGAAGTTTACAATGTAAATAACCATGCTAAATATGTGACATTTGGAATATACAGTCAACCTTATGTGTAAAGATAAATATTCAGCTTAATAAAGTATAAAAACTGGTTGAACACAAATCAATAACATTTCTTTCAGTGCCAACCTAAGATATTCTAGACCTCTCTTCTTGATTAAAATGAGAATCATTGCATATGATATGATACTGACTAAATACAAACAAGAAATATAGACTTTCAAACCAGAATATAGGCAGGAAAAGTTTCAGAAATTAAATTACATGTACCAAAAAAAAACATGGTTATTTTGCACTTAAACACCATGGATGAACAGCATAATATGGTGATGGGCACACATTCAAAATTTAATTGTTCCATTCCATTGTAACAATTATTGCATGAGTATATTGTGCTATCGATCGCAGATGCTGGCAGGTGAACAAGTCGATATGTTACAATGAATTGAGCAGACAAAAAAAACAATTATAGTTCAAAGACTGACATGATTTTAGATTTTCAATCTGAGCTTTAGTAATTCACAAATCAGAAGACTGCCTGATAAAAATGAAGGTGGGAGGGGGGATGAACCAAGTATACCCTCTGTCTGAATCCACCCTTGGCATGGCCATTATTAAAAACCTAATATGATGATTATTTGGTATTACTGATTGGGTATATACATTTTTAATAAATGCTACTTAAAGACCCAGACTGCACAAAGTGCTGCAGTTAAATCCATTATGAAGAGAATTTGTGTATTTTATAGCAAAGCCACATCGGCCTATCTGCTGTGTCCAATGAGGGAAATCCAACTCCTCATTTTAGCATTGTAAATCTGTAGAGATACTGCTCTCCCACTAGGGGACTATGAAGAGAAGCTCACCCTTTCTTCAGTACAAACCAAGTTAGCCTACATGCTTATTCAGACCATCAGACTAAGTTTTGTAGCAGATTGTGCTCTTCTTTCATGCAATGGAGAAAACGAAATCAAACTTTATCCTATGGAAACAGAATTTATTTCTAGTGTTTTGTATATGTGAGTGTTTAGTTTAGTTTAGTGGACAGCAAAGTGAGGGTGGATCTCCAGTCCATCATCAGGCAGCATTGGGAATATATTGTCCAGTCTGCAGTAGTAGAAGGGTACCCGGCCACATACATATGTGGCTGGTTCAGCTCCAACAATCACCATATCTGCCTGGAACCAACATCCAGGGGCCTGTAGAAAAAAAGGGGTGAACTATATGTTGGATGAATGTATCATCCAACACCTAATGGTATCTGGAAATGTACATCAGGTCCACAATATGATGAGCATCAATGCCATCTACACCAGCAAAACACCATTACCCTACTCTCAATTGAGGGGGATTGAGCACATTCAGGAGGCAGCCTTCATGGTCCACCACCCCAGCAACTAGGAACTAATAAGTGACAAGGGCTCACATACTCCACTAGAAGAAGGAGGGGGATGCATTGGAGAGTGTGGAAGAATGCAACTCTAGAGACAGTGCAGTCCCTTTCTCCTTTACTCATGATAGTCGAGGAGCATATGGCCTGAGATGAACATCTTTGTGAAGTGAACTAGCATGAGTCAAACCTATAAACCATCTTGCAAACCACCCCATCTCAACTGTACACATATATGAGACAAATGTCTTACAATGCAGATTTAAGAATAAATATAACTGGTCATGCAACACTCGCCCCACTGAGCAGGACCCAACTCTGCAACAAAGGCTCCTGCAAAGAAAATGAAGAAAAATAGGAACACTTAGCCACACACAGAGACATCATGGAGTGCAAAATTGCAATGAAAGGAAAACAAAACCCTGCACAAGAAGAAACAGCTGGTGAAAATAATGAGCAGTAAAAGTATGGGGAGTGTTCTACATACTAGCACTAATAATGTTCTCTATCAGATGATGAAAATGAGCAGCCAGAGACATGGTAATGTGATGAATTTGATGGGAAGATATACTGAAAAGATGACAACAATCAGGAGAAAAAGAAGAATAAGCCAGGTGAATCAACTGGCAAATCCAACACATAAGAATAATGGAAGAAAGATCACTGGACTAGGTAGGATTCCAAAGAATATATCATTTGAACCAGGAACCATGGAATGAATCAGCATGTGCCAAACAACAGCAGAGAGCTCTGAGCAGAGAGAGGAGGTGAACAGGATCAGAATGGTCATAAGTGTGTGATATAGAAGGATCCAGGCAGAATTACCCTCCCGAGCAACATAAGTGTTGGGCAGTAAAAAACGATCAGGGAAGAGGATCACATAGGTACTGTGAAATAAGGTGTGGTTGATATACGAAACAGGTTAACAAGTGTTCAAAAGGAGGAAGGGTAAGGGCATGAAGGACATCATTGAGGTTCCAATCCAGGAGAGAGACAGGGCGAGGAGTACAGGTCCTGCAGAGGGAATGGAGCAAAAAGGACAGGACTAGCAACCTGGAGACATAGGCATAAGATGTAAAATGACAAAGCAAAACAATAGCCCACAACGGAGGAGACTGAAAGGCCCCTGTCAAAGAGCTAGGTAACAAAATAAGTGATACGGGGAAAGGTCAGCCAGGACGGGGGATAACTATCGACATATAGACTACACTGGTACATGTACCACTTTCTTTCCTACATTGTCATGGAGTAAAGACATACAGAATGGGAAATCAAGGATGCCACATGCTGTGAAAGTCAGACCAACTGGGCCACGGACCAGACAAAAGTCACTCGCAAAGCCTGATTGTGGAAACAGATAGGTGACACATGTCAGAATGGGGCTGACAAAAGATGGTGGGAGAAAGAGAGAGAGAAAAGGAGGCACACCAGTGGTTGGCACAGAAGTGAGAACCATGTATGACATAGCCAATATGGAGCCACCAACAGAACCTGACAAAGAGTAGTCTGAATGAGAGAAACAACCCGGGGGTTAGGGAATCAGATGATCAGAGAGTAGGAATACAGGTATGAACCTGACCAATCCAAATTGAGAGCATCCACTGCTCCAGCCAAAGGATGTGGAACAGAAGACCAAAACCTAGGGAGGTGAGAATCGAGATGAGTAGCAAAGGTGACCAGCTCTGAAACACCTGTGGGTCCAGTGACCACTCCATAGGGAGAATCCTGTTGGAATGTGATAAGCAATCTGTGACAAGGTTCAGAGAACCCAGAATATGTCAAACCCACAAATAAAGTTGATGGCTGTGAGCACAATACAGGAGATCCAATGTGCGAAAACAGAAGTCTCACGACTGAGTGCCTCTTGCCTGGATAAGTACAAGACTACTCTTGAGTGGTCAGAATGCATCATCACTGATGGGCCCTGAAGGTTCGAAAGGCAATAAACCAAAGCCCAATGAATGCTGAGGAGCTCCAACAGATTGATATGGAGAAAGGACTGAGAGAATACAGGGCTCCAAAAGCTCCCAAACATCCAAATAAGCATTTGTAAAAAGTTGATATTCCAGTCAAGGAGGAGGAAGGGGAATAGTGAAATTATCAAAATCTAACCACCAGGCAAAGATGGTCTGTAAGGAAGGAGGAGAGGGGCATCAAAGGGATCCTGAAGGCATCTCCACAGGTCCATCAAAGCTCTCTGAAGGCGATGCACGTGGGCACAACCAAAAGGGATGAGAGCTGCCTGAGAAGCCCATGTCCCTAATAGGGATAGAGCCTCTAGAGTAGTGGGAGAAGGAGATGGGATAGGTCAAGAACCAATAGCGCCATAACTTTTAGATGAAGAAGAGAAAGTAAGGCCCAACTATGATAAACAATACCCCACGGTGAACAAGGTATTGTATGAGGGTGAGGAAAGGCTTATCTACACCCACAACCAACTAACCAGAAAGTCAGAGGTGGCCTGCAAGAGAGCTAGAAGTAGGCAGTCATCTATGCAATGAAGGAAACAAAGGTCCTGGGAAGGACAAAGAAAGACAAGTGCATAGACCACCTGACAAAAAACACAGGGATCCAAGGCAAGCCCAGAACAGAAAAACACAACCACAATGGACAAAACAAAGGTAAAGTCAGGATGCAGGAGAGATGAGAAAGTAAAAGGAAATCACCAAACCACCTACGATCTACTTCCACAAATGAGAAGTGCGGTACTATCATTTCTAAGATAACCCACTAAACCCAAGGGTCCATGGCAAAGGACCACCAGACACAGGCAAAGTAGAGGGCCAAGCCCTCACAAGACTCAAACCTACTTTGTAGTCTCTAAGACTCATGGCTGTTGCCAGAAGTACCAACAGCAAATCACAGGAACATAATAGGCTGCTGAAAGGAGGAGGAGGGTGAGACACAGGAACAGGTTCAGGAGGGGGTTGGGACAGACAAGAGGCCAATAAGGAAATGAAGGTATCCAAAGAGTCAGGAATGCCCAAAAAAAACCTGGTGCAGAAAAAGAGGCATGTGCAAAACATGCAATGAGGAGCGAGGCAAATGTACCTGCAGCAAAAGAGTGGCCTGACCCCAAAGATGTCCCATCAACAGAGGAGCCACATTAGCAAGGAAAGGGCAGATGAGGAGAGGCATGCCATGGTGGAAAACAAAGGCTGGAAAAAAAGTCACGAAAGTATTGGGCTCCGAACTCCCAAGGGGACGAGCAAGTAGAAAAGCTGCACGTTTAAGGAAGAAAATGGAGAATGGTGCTCCACCAAAGCATGGTCTACCAGAGTAAATAGTGTCACAGCATAACTGGTCCATAAAAAGACTCACATGAACCCCAATATCTGATGAGGAAGTGAAAAAACTAGATACTAGCTCATCAAGACGACATTAAGAGGGGCAGGTGAGGAATTAAAGGGAAAGGGAAACAAAAATAAAATATACCATACCTGAAGTATTTAGTCAACAAAGGGAGAAGGATACCTGGGTACCTCCCCTGAAATGAAACATGATAGTGAGGAATAGGCAAAAAGAGAGAACAGGCTGTCAAAATTCACATCCACATGTTCAGGCACACCTTCACATGGTGACAGAAGACAATCATCTGGCAATCCAGAAGAGTGCGTAAAGGTAGACAACTTATTTCAAACACAGCCATTACTTCCTCGGGAGAAACAATTTGACCTGCTGCCATTTGAAGACTCAAATGCAAATCAAGAATTGAAGAACAAATAATTTGAAAAACACAGGAAAAAAAAAATGTGTGGAATAACTCGAAAATTAGGAAAAAATTAATGAACTATTAAATGTAAAACTGAAGGCATGCAATTAATTGATGTGAAGTTCAAAAAAGAAACAATAGGTATGAAAGCACAAGCAAAAACACATTTTAATTGTAGGACTGCCATATAACTGTCTCAACAAAGGATCAGTCCCTGGGACTGACCTCATAACCATTTTGTGCTTGTTATAAATTTCATGCTATAACTTATAGATTATTAAGCGTATGTATAAGTAAATATTACAATGCTTTCATACGCAAAATATCAAATTTTTCAAATCTTAAGGTTTGTAAAGCAATATTTTTTCTCCTGCCTTTTTCTTTTCGCATATTGCCTATCCAACATAAAAGTAATTTTCATTTTTGTGCATCAGAAAAGTTTTCCAATTTCACATGCAAAATCTATATAATGTCCAGATAGTCCACAAAATCATAAATGTTTAGACTAAATAGCTTAATTCTCATAATATTATACATTTATGTATATTTATTATTATATTGACCTTTCAACCAAGCCTGGCTAACAATATAGAAGTTACAATGACATGTCACATGTGCACTCATGTCACTGTATCCAATTATATAAAACTGACCTTTAGTCTGTGCAAAGTAACTTGTCTTGGCTGTGTTTTAG